CATAGTTGTTTCATATATATGTACTCCCAGCTACAACTTTTTGGCGACCGAATCAAACGGATCCTATATTATAGACCCTATATGAGTTTGTGTCTTTCTGGATAAAAATTATATTAAAAAGCAAACATTAGGCAATCACAACAGCACTTTGGATGGCATAAGATAGTGTAGAAATATTATATATTAAGCTACAAGTTCCATCCATTTCTTCAAGTGAATATTTAAGACGTCTCGAAACTTAAACTCATATTCCAGCACCAGTATTTACAAATAATTACTATTGTATTTAAAATCATGCAGTATTCAAAATATTTTTTTTAATATCTCTATGCGATTTTATTTACTAGTCTAGTTAAAAGTTGATTTTTTTTTTTAATAAAAGGGTTTAGAGCGATGTTCGGGTTCCGAGTTTTACTAAAAACATTCAAGAAGTATAGCCAAAAGATGAATTTTTGAACAAGTCAGTGCTAAACAATATAACTGCACCTAGGGGTATACCCATAGATGAACAGTTATACCATTTAGTTCCATTGATCGTTCTGCCCTATTTTTATTTATTATAGAAAAAATGAGACACCTAGGGCAGAGTATGAATCTAACCCTAGGCATTTTACAATAGGCAAGCCTTAAAAGAACGTTTAAACCCTAAGGAAATTAGAGTAAAACTATCTAATTCTTAGATATGGTACAAAAATTCTATCTAAATGAGCTTTTCTACGCGCTGATGTTGGAAGATCACTTAGATTATTATATTGCTTGGAGATCCCTACAGAAGCTTGCCTAGCGAGTTTATCAGCAACACTATTCGCCTCTCGAAATATATGAGAAATTCTGGATTGAGAAGTTCTCAACATTTTTTGTATCCCATTGAAGTAGTGATAATATTTCCATGGATATCGCGTGCCTTTCTGAAGGTAGAGTGTGATGATCTTATTATCTGTTTGCACTTCTATCCTCTGTAGCCTTTTTTCTGTGCACCTTTTGAGTCCCTGATAAATTCCTATCAATTCAGGTTCCAGACTCGTCGCTATGCCCATATATTTGCTTTCAGCCTCAATGAAAAAGCCTTGCTCGCCCCTCGAGATGAACCCCCATCATGTTTCACCCGGTTGTCCCAACGCAGATCCATCAATATTCAGTACTAGCTCTCCAGAATCAGGTGGTTTCCACTTGACAACTTTTACTTTCTTCCTCACCGGCTTTTGCACTTTGACCTTGAGAAGCTCATCCACTTCTTTTAGCTTTGCCAGACTTTTTGCTTGGAACTTATGGACACTCAACATATGAGAAATATTAGTAGCTATATTTTGTATTAAGCATTCATATAAAAAAGATATACCTTCATAAATCAATTTATTCCGGTGTTTCCAAATTAACTTCCCATAATAGAAAAATAGAAGTTACTATTATGATGGATTTCTTAGCCGTGGTAAAGTTTTCTATGGATTGCCACACTTGAAGAAGGCTCCACCAACCTGTATTATTATGAGAAGTGATGCTTAATTTTACAGCAAAATGTTGCCACACTCTTGTTATTTGCAGACAACTATAAAAAATGTGATCAATAGATTCCTCCGCTTCCTGATAGAAGGGACACCTAGATGGATTCAGCATCAAATTCATTTTTTGCAAAACCTCTGGAAAAGGAAGCAAGTAATTATAAAGCTGCCAAATGAAGAACGAAATTTTCAAAGGAATAATTCTATTCCAAAAATTGCACAAAAAAAGGGTGAACTTCTCTCGTTCGTCGAGTGGCTGCATAAGCAGAAGCAATCGTGAACTCTTCATTCAGCGATGGTGTCCACACAAGCCTATCCTCCTCATCGGTAAAAACCAACTCCAATTCCCGCAGCTTGGCAGCAACTTCTGGTGAAAGAAGACCATCGAAAACCTGCAAAAAGAAATTTTTAGATTGGAAGAAATCATAGAAAGATAAATCCGGGGCTGGTGGTACATTGTTACCATTCCAAATTGCAATCGTTGAGAGTCTTCTATCAAACCAGAAGGAGGAAGAACCAAATCTGATTTCCACTTTGGAATTCGGCCGGGCCAGGTGAGCAACTCACAACGTTCGAATCCAGCTTGTCCTTGCCTTAGAAGACTCCGATAGAGACGCTACGAGTCGAGCCCGAATTTCAGTGTTTGTGTGAAGTGTCCACCATAATTTCAAGAAAAAAATTGTACTACATCCTGAAAACTTCGAATGTTTAATCCATTTTCCGCGAACGGATATGTGAAGCTTTGCCATGCTCGCCAACGTTTTTTTCTGCCTTCGTCCGTTTCACCCCATTAAAAATTTTGGCACTTACATTCAAAAGCTGAGATGATGAATTTTGGTAACTCAATAGCGGCAATGGTATGGATTGGAAGTGCTGCAAGCACATGCCTGAGAAGGACGATTTTTCCCCCTTGCGAGAGAAGTTTATTTTTCCAGCTCAGAAGTTTTGCATCGAAAGCATCCAATAGATGCTGAAAAAATTCAGTCTTCTTCCTGTCTTTTAACAATTTACAGCCCAAATAAATAAAGGGGAAGCTTCCCTGCAGCATTTAGAGTGTTTGATGGACCAGCTGGACATGTTCCAAGGTGCTTTTCTCCGACGTATAGAAACAATTTTTTTGCTTATTCATTTTTCTCTAGTTAAAAGTTGATATCTCAATACCAATTTTAATTAAAAAAAAAGAAAAAAATTGTAATGATTTTATTAGTTTAAATAAGCTAATTTTTTTCGGGCAGTAAATATCGTGTTATATGGAATATATATATATAGGGAGCGACTACGATCCAGTCGACTGAATGGTTCAGTCAATAATTATAGCCGTTGAATGAGAAAGAATCATCGTCACTGTTAGATTAACTATGGTGTATAGTAAAAGAAATAAAGCCTGAAAACACTGGATAATTTTCATAAATTATTCATTACTTTTCTCCCTAAAATTGTATATACGCCAACATTCCTTTTAACAAAACAAAGTTGAGTCAACAAGGATGCTATGCTATTTATAACATAGAGAACAGTCACTAGCATGATACAGATTGATAATTAAGTTCCATAGCAAAGACTATTATATTCCTATAATTTCCTTGTTCTTTTTCTATTCTGATTCACTATTCAAACCAAAAACCCAGCAAGACAGAGATGTATATATTAACTATGACGAACGCAAGCAAGCCACGAACACTCCCTTATCAATCAATTGATACAAATCGATGATCGATAATTGCAAATCCAGTGGGAGAAGACAACGATTTTCAAAGCTATCAGCTATTTTTTTTTATGTCCATTGAAGAGATTGTTCTAACTTCTACTCATTTCGACAATGAGATTAAGAGACAAATCTGGAAATGGTTAATTCAAAGAGAAGATAAAAAAAAATTATTAAAACGTAAAGCTCCACAAGCATTGAGGATAAAAGAAACCATGTGGCTTATCAATGACCCTTCAAAACAAGAGAGAACAAGGAAGGTCGACCCTTCAAAACAAGGAATCGAAAAAGAACTTTTTCAAGGCAGATGGAAATTGGAAGTGTTTATAAGATGGAGGATCCAGTATGGTTAATTAAAAGGCATTCCGGGAACTCAATTTCGGTCCTGGTGGCTCAACTTGTTTTTTTCAAATTACGGATTTTAATAATACACCAAATGTAGAGCATGAAGGAATTAAGATTGGATATGCAGAAAAATTAACGTTGAACTCGTTTCATGATTATTACACAGGAATCGTCCACAAGAATGTTATTGTGAATGTTCCCCTCTAGAACTCTGTTGTAAACACTATAAATTCGAGACAAATTACATTAAGAAGCAAGAACAAGTTTATCTTTGTTCGGTCCTCAAAAGTTACAAAGACTCTCTTCAACAACGTGAATCCGGAAAGAACTTACTGGTCCAATTCGAGTTTTTCTCTTTCTTTTTACTAGGAAAAACCATTAAAATTTCTCCTCCAAAAACATTCAAAATTCCAAATAGAGATAAAAAGCAATGTTTTTTCTGCTAACCAGTAAACAATATGATAGCACCGCCAGCCTTCGTTATTTTCTTTTTTTGCAATCTTCAAATTACGCTTAGCCTTAACGACGGCGGCTTGTTTTTTGGCAACACACCCATGCCAACGACATATTAATATCGATGATCTTATCCTTGGATTCCTGGGGGACCAAAGACTAAAACTTCTTCACGATTCTGCAATGCAACTTGTTACGGAGTTTATAGAATTAATTGTATTTTGTCTGTAATAACTTATCTAATTTTTAACGGGTCAATAAGTAAAATGGTTTTTATTACAGTGTTGTGCACCCCATTATTACATATGGTGTGGTCTACTTTTATTGAATAGATTTTAACTGATGGTTCAATCCAAAACTTATGACTGGACCATAGAATTTTATATATATATATATATATATATATATATATATATATATATATAAACACTAAGACAAAATTAACACTGTCCATATATACCTCCCTAAAAGTGAACCAAATTCTTCTTGGCGCACGCTTGACACTTGAATAACTTTAGTTGACAAATCTAAAGGCCATCACCGGCTCCATTGACCATTTATGTTGTATTCTATTGGTACTCTATAATATTCTCGATCCTTTGACTTCCTCTCAATAATCCAATACTTTTATTCTTCTCATCATCAATGGTCTTCTACTTAACCCTTAACTAATACACCAAAACTCAAAAGCATTGACCTATGAAAATATCTTAATACCCTTAACCTAAAGTGAAAAGTCATTTCCAAAAGTCAAAAGGGACAAATATAAATTTAATGAAAATAAAATGGAAGTCGTCCTTGTTCACACCATTGAGAGATGGATCAAGTGTGAAAATGGTAGAGGTTGACCTAGAAGATGAGTTGACATCATCAACTTCTAAATAAAGGGGTCTATCTCCACTAGCTACAACAAAACCATTATGCCTTGGTCAACTTTCTTTTGGCCAGCCTTCTAGGTGTTTTTTACACTTTCAAATTTTGCAATATGAACGGATGCCTCAGGACTTGGACCACACAGCACCACACACAACAACGAGTTGACTAGGCCGGCGGCAGTTGTCAACAACTTTTTGCCATTCCCATAACTCCAGAATTGGACAAACATCTCTAGAATTTTGCTGCCGACTTTATGTTATATTCGATTAGTGAATTATGCAGTTACATTATGATATTGTAGGGCTATTAAAAACTCAATTAATTCTATGTTTCACTTGTATTTAGGGACGGATTTGTGAAAATTTCTTTAACTGTCAAACTCGTTACAGATATTGTATTGCATGCTTATGGATTTCTCCAATAAAATGTTGAAATGTTAGGTTCGAATTCTGCATTAAATGTGCAACCCTTTTGATTTGGTTGGTGAATTTATTAATTAAACAAGGTCCTATTTTTCATATAGAAACGTTCAAAACGCGAAATTTCGAATTTTCAAAAAACATTAAAATTGGTAATATTTACACCATCTCCGTCTTCCCATATGACTATCACGTGAATGCCAGAATACGCAATCAATCAAAGGTTCAAAGTTTTCTCCCTCCGATTCAATTTTTGAAAAAGATTGTGGTTGGTGGTGGATGAATGTAAATCACAAACACAAAGCACTCACGTTCTAGCATCATCCTCCGCCAATATTCGGTGCTGGAATTTTTCCCCAAAAGATTAATGGTATCAAATTTAAAGATATATAAAAAAAGGGCAACATGAAATGATTCTGTAATGATCCATTTTATTAAAGTGTTTTTCATTATCTCCATTTCAAAATAAAGAATATCCATTACAAGATCAAAAGCATCTTTAACGTTCACGGAGGACAACATAAGATTTGTCGCAGAACCAATAGTACTCCTAATGTTAACATTCAGATTCTCTGAACAATTGATTAACAATGTACTAATATCATAAACGGATTCTTCAGAACCAATCGGAAGCAAAAGAAGATCCTCCTCCACTTGCAATTGGAGATCATCATGAATTTGTGCTGAAAATTGTGTTGAAATTTGTGGGATTTCTTCTGTGTCATCATCATCAACGCATCTAACTGTGATCCAATCTTCATCGTCATTAGGCCAATTGCGAAAACCGGAACCCGGAAAACAACTCATATCCCCGACCAGACTCTTGATTCTGTTACTCGAGGATGAATCCGATGATGACAAAACCATATGTGATGAATCATTGTCTGAAAGTTCAGGTACTTCTTCCATGGAATCCCAAAATGCTTGATCCAACACAGAGGTCGGAGAATTCCTTAGGAATCCGGTATCGCCATCGGTAAAAGCACCGGCGAAGAATGGATGTTGGAGAAGCTCTTTCGCCGTCCATCTCTGCTTGGCATCTCTGTTCAAGCATTTGCTGACAAAATCCTTAGCAGAATTGGACAACCAGATTGGACATTTTGGCACGTCCTCTGAATATCCAATTCGAAACAGAGCAGAAACAGGGTCACTCAAATTAGGCCAAGGATTAGTCCCTGTGGTCATTTCAACAACAACACAGCCTAAAGACCAAATATCAGCAGCAAATCCTTGTTCTTCACCACGAGCAACTTCCGGCGCCATGAATAAGGGTGTGCCGGAAATTATTGATTTCTTAGCCAAATTCCCATTTGATTCTTCAAATTTTTCTTCTTCGGCCTTTTTTGCACATCCAAAGTCACCAATTTTGGCTCCATCTTTTCCGACCAAGACATTCTGGCCCTTAATATCACAATGCACAATCCCTTCAGAATGAAGGTAATCCAATCCTTGTAAGATATGAAAAGCGTAATTCCGAATCATGGGCTCTTCCAAAGAACCGCCCTGCTTCCGGATTTGATCGGAAAGTGTGCCGCCGGGGAAATACTCCATGAAAAGATTGTACATAAGCTTGCTATCTTCACTCGTAATGTCGCTGCCGAGATACTTAACTACAAAAGGCGAATTAAGCTGAGAAATCAAATCTCTTTCTTTTTGCAACAAGCTTGAAGAAGAAAGCTCTGCTGATTTAACGGCCATGAGCTCGCCGGAAGCGGTGGTTGCGAGAGAAACCGCGGCAGAGGATCCCCTGCCGATGATTTGGCCTCTAATCCACTTCCCCATATTGGAGTTTGGAATTTTTTGTTGAAGGTGGAATTTGGTGCTAAAAAATGTGGAAAATGCCTTTGAAGTTTGCCAAAGTTTTTGGTGTATTTTGGGAAAGGGATTCTGTATATTTATATTGCCTGAAGTCTACGCTGTGTGGTGTTTGGGGGTGGGACTCCAGATGCTTTGTACTTATTAGGTGCCTTGTTTCATTTTGGTTGATGACTTGGTGTCTTTACTTAAAGAATCTTCCTTGGCTTATTATTCCATGACGGCCTTGGATTTCTTTGATTACTTTTTTATTTTAAGACTTTAAAGCCAAGTTAGAAGAAGTACATTTTGAAGTTAAGAATTTTTTTAAGGAAAAAAAAAAGCACCAAGAAAATTAGATCGCATTAATTTGTTTGTACACTAAGCTTAGGCGTCGCCACCGGCATATGTTTCGTTATTAAGAATGTATTTTATGAGACGATATAACGACACGATATTTTTTGTTTTACAAATAAAATTTGGATATGCAATACGGTACATGACACTATTGGATGGGAAAGTAAAGATCTTTCAAATTTTTGAGTAGCAATGATGATTACTTGGAAGCAAAAATGATTTCGCACAATGTATGTGTACAATCACGTCTCATGCTTTTTTGAGGCTTTGGAAACTTTGTCTTAATGGAGCTACCGAGTACTTCACTTACACTTTAGCCTTGTGTGTATGCAAAATTTGATATGCATGAATTTGATTCATTTCTGAGATCCCTTAATAAAACTCAGTCACGGAAGACTGACTTTTTAATACGTTGAACAAGCAATTTTGGTGATCACTCAGATTTTTAAACTGAGTCATACTTAATGAAATCTGAAGTTCAAATTCAATTTGACCCCGTTTGTAAAGTGAATTATCCCACTTTTAGTCCGCATTACTTTCACAAAGTATGTTTATGTACATAGTAAAATTCCTTAAACTAGAAGTTCAGTACAGGAATAATGACCAAATTTATAATACTCAATAAATATTAAAATTCATTGTGAACTTTTTTTTTTGGTAGAAATACTACGGTCTCTGGTCTTTATTAGGCTTTTTGACTTTTCCAAAAATTCACCTAGTACACATTTTTAATTGATTAAAAAACCTTAAAAATATTTTATAACAATGTAGAGAACACAGTGAATGTGAACATATATTTTTATTTCATAACAATGTAAAGAACACGAATGTGAAAATATATTTTTAAGGTTTTTTGTCAAGTAAAAATGCATATTAGGTAAGACCTAAGATAAATCAAAATACCTTATATTAAAGACGTGTGGAACTATATTATATCGAATTTGACACTACACAATTATAAAATAGGTTACCAGGCGAAAACAAAACAATTTTTTTTTTGGTTATCAACGACACATGTTAGTCCCTCCCTCATTTTAATTTTCGTCTTTCATGAGTGGCAAATTCCACATCATCTAAACACAACCGTTAGGGGGAAAAAAAAGGAAATTTGAACGATTAAAATGTTCCAAAAGTGGCCGGGGCTACCAAAATTAATTCCCAAAACTTTTTGGGCGGATCAAATTAGATGTACAAAGGGGAAATGCTTGAGTCGTGAGTAAACCACGTGGCAAAAGTAGAGAAAAAAAAGGAGTTGACAGCGTAAGCCGACTATGGCTATATGGACGGCAATTCTTCCCTCCTTTTGTTTTTGGTCTTTTTTGCTTTACCTCATAAATTTACTCGGTACGCTACTGAGTACAGTTCGTTTTCGTCACATATTCAGATTTTGAGGTGGCGGCACGTGACCACGTGCTTTGATTGCGCGCGCGTCATCACCGCTCATCCAAAAATCACGTTAATGTTGTTTTTTCACCTTTCACATTTGCGGCGCGTTTTGTTTTGAATCTTTTTCTTTTCTTTTCTTTAGTTTTAGATCATCAGACGACAAAGGATCCTAAGGAAGTAATTTCTAATAAGTTGTTCGTTTGCGTTGTACAAAATTATTGCTAAAGAATCAACACTTCTTTTCTCCCCCACGCAATGTGTATCCCAATTAGAAATTGTTCGAAGTGTCTCTCCGTTGGATTGAAAACTTAATTCTTCAGTTTCAATATAAGTGATGATAAAAGTGAGTATGAACATGTGTACAACCCATACTTGTGTAGTTAACGTTATGTTTCGATCGTTTTTTAGTGTATATTTTTAGATGTTTTTTTTGTATTGAAAATATAAAAAAATACATTTTAGTGAAAAAATATATTAGGATGGGATAATTATTATTTAGTTAATTTTAAATTACCAAAAATAACAAACCAAACAAAAGAGTTCGATTCTTGTTTTTGCCGTTTTGATGGCTTCCTACGCTGCGAAAAGTTCCATCTATGTCGGCTCCAGAGCTCTGTAGACCCTTTCCCTGGTGTATATGACAGTTCCCGGGTCATCCCTGACCACCACCGCACATTCACCCCTGCACAAGTCTTTCTTAAAGTCTTGGGTCGAACTGTTGAACGCCCTTATTTTTTCATTTGAGCGCCCGCGAAAGACCAACACGCCCCTGGAAATGGAGGTAAGTTTTTTTTTTCGGAAAAAGAGGGGGTGGCGAGGGAGAAACACGCCATCCCTGCAATAAGCTCGCCTCCCCTGTAATGGGAGGCGAGGCAAGCCTTCGCCAATGGCGAAGGCGGTGGCGCCATATTCTGTCATGGTTGGCACCGTGTTGGTGGCGCCCAAACGGGCGCCAACCAATTTTATTTTATTTTTTAAATTTTTTAATATATTTGATATTTATTAGTTTAAAAATTATTATTATTAGTTTAACAAATTTAATTAATTCATGTATTTATTTTATTTGAGTATTTGTTTTGTAGTTTAATATATGTTTAGAAAATTAGGGTTTATGCTAGATATTTAGAGAATGTTTTTTAATTACGTATACTGTTATATGTTAATTACGTAGTATGCTCGTAAGAAATACTTTGTTTCTTGTTAAATGGGTGTTTAGGTTGTATGTTAATGCGTATAGTTGTTAGGGATTAGGATATTTGTTAAAATAATGAGTTTTTATTAATAATATTTTTAGTTAGTTATTAGTATATATTAATTATCTTTAAAGTAAAAGATCATTATATCGGATTCTATAACAATGTTTACTCATATCAAATTAATTGTGGTTTAACAATGTTAGAGTTAACTTAAGTTATGATATAATTTGTTTTTAATGTGTGTGTGCAAGATAGTTTTGATCAGGGGGATGGAATCGATTATAGTGCGGCTTTTGCTACAGACGAGACTTTCACAACGAACACGGAAGCTATTGAATATGCGAAGGGTATTGCGAACATCTACAATATGGTGTTAAGTGTATCCTCGCATAAGGATAATAGTACTATACTCCTTTGTCATAAAGGGGGGCGGTACCAAGGTGAACAGGTGGATGAAAACGTGCGGGCCCGAGCCAATACAAAGACACAGATGACCGGATGCCAGTTTCGTGTTACTACTTACAAGATGTATGATAGGTGGGCAATCCGTGTATATCCAGGTCCGTGGGGAATGCACAACTATTCATTGAAAGATCCACCTCGAGTCAGGAGGCCATTGAGTACTGAAGTAAAAGAGCTTATTAAAGAGTACTCCAAAGCTGGGACCAAGGCAGTCCACATTTTACGGGCGATATGGACACAATTTCCCGATGAAAAGGTAACCGCTAAACAAGTCTACAACTACAGAAATTTTTTGCGTAAGGCGGGGTTTCCAATTCTAGATGACCTGGCTGCCATGGACGTAGTGGGAAAGGTGTTAGAGGTCGCAGAACAGCACAAATACATCATCTTCACGGAGTGCGATGAAGAGACACAGAGGTTATCCCACGTCTTTTTCGCACATCCGGATTCTTTGTTGTTATTGCGGACGTATCCTTGGGTTGTTTGTGTAGATTCCACATACAACACAAACAAATATAAACTGCCTCTTGTGGAGTTTGTTGGAATGACCACTTGCAATCAGACATTCCTCATAGCATATGCCATTCTGAGTGATGAGACAGGGGACAGCTACCATTGGGCGCTGTGGCAGCTCCGACTTGTATGGCGAAGATATGCATCTGAGTGTCATCGTGACTGATCGGGAGCCTGGACTGATGAGGCCTCTTGATGATGTATTTCCATCTTCACATCACTTATTGTGTACGTGGCATGTTTACAGGGATGTTGAAAGAAATGTGAAAAGAATTTTGAATGGAAATGCTCATACAGCAAAAAGTTTCGCGTATAATGCCTTCAAAGCAGTGATCGAAGCTGAAACCAGGGACGTATACGAAGAAAGAATGCAGTTTCTGGAGCATAATTGGTCCCAATTTCAGGCCGTTCTACAGTATGTTAGGAACACATGGTTAGTGGTGGCGCACAAGTTTGTGCGTGCATGGATCAACACTTATTTGCATTTTGGCAACACCACTACCTGTAGAGTGGAGAGCGCACACAAGTTGTTAAAGGAATGGCTCGTCATTCCAAATGCTTCTTTTGAAACGGTGTGGCACAGGGTTCACATGTTACTGGAGACACAGCTTACGCAAATAAGGTACAGGCCTCTTGATCCCTTTTTAGTTAATTTGTGTGTTTAGGTTGTTTAATTAATTTTTTTGAATTCCTGTACAGGGAGAAATTCCAAGAATCAAGGCAGAAAATAGGGAGGCAACACAACAAGTACCCTTTCTACCAATTAAGATGCAATGTTCAGGCAGTTAGTGGAAGAATTGGACGCTGCTGATGAGCCAATACAGCGCGAGATCACCAAATTGATGTACAACAAACTCCACCCGGGCCAAGCAGGATTAAATGAACCGCGGGTTGGAAAGAGAGGCAAGGGCAGACCGAAGAAGAGGGGCATCTCTAAAAAAAGGCAAGACAAACCGAATGTGTGGGCATACAGGGACGGCAATCAGGGTGGCACGAATACCAGCAGTTCCAGTAAATCAGGGACGAACACCCACAGTTCCAGTAGAGGGCATACGTCGGGAGCTGAAGATCAGAACAGAGGTCCGATATTACTTTCTCTTTTTAAATGTGTGATAAATTATTTTACTTTGTTACTTACCCATGCTACAATAGATCCATGGACTGGGCAAGGTGAGACGAACAGCAGCAGTTCCAGTAGAGGCAAGAGGTCGGGTTCCGAACCACATGTCGGAGGTAAGTTTATAATTTATATTGTTCTTAATTACTAATATATAATTCAGAAATAATGATATTATTTTACGTGGTTAAAGATGTTATGCAGATAGATTTTTTCCAGTTTAGCCACAAGAATAAGATTCCGCAGGTACTCCACAATCATGTTCAGTCATATCTTGATGTCGAGCCTGACGGCAATTGTGGTTTCCGTGTCTTTGCGAGTTGCATGTTGGGTGGGCAGAATAATCACATTTTGTGCAGACAGATATGTTATGATGAGGTTATAAATAACCCTGGCCTATATGGGAACATTTACGGGTATGCAACCAGTTTAATGTTGGTAAGCAATTGTCTTACTGTTATTTTTTAAAAAAACTTTCATACCCACGTCTTTGTGTAGGTGGGACAGATGGGCTGAGAGCCTAGAGCGTATACGGTGGACAGGCACCGCATTAGGTCACTGTGTCACGGACAGTTTTTCTTCACCATGAATTCGGGTGGTTTGATGCGAAACGGGCTATTTTCGTAGACGGACATGGGACGGAACGGTCCAGAGCCTTGTGGAATTCTCCGGTCAAATCTTGAAGACTCTGGAATTTTCTAGAGAGGCCCGGAACTCTCTAGAAACGAGTGGAACCGTATGGAAGCTACCCGAGTTTGCTAGAACCGTGTGGAAGATTCTAGAGACTTGTAGATATTTTGAACTTAGAATATTTTATTGTAGGAATTCTCTAGAATCCCATTATTTTATTATGTACATAGAATTCTCTAGAATTCTTTAGGACTTGGGGGGTTTGCCTATAAATACCCCATGCCCCCTTCATTTGTAACCATCCAAGCTTTGAGTAGAATTCTCAAGCATTCCTTAAGCTCTCTTGTGCCTTCATCGTTCTTTCATTTTCAACCTTTCTTAAGTTTTTCTTTGCCTCCGTTCTTTAAAGTCTTGCCTAGCTTTGCACGCTTTGGGGGTCTTAAGGCTGAGCTAGCACTTGATCGTTAGTTGTTTTGTGCTAGTGCCGCACGGCCGTTACTTGGAAAAAGTAAGCCCGTGACAGTTGGTATCAGAGCCTCGGCTCGATACTTGGTGTGCTACATCGTCTACGCTTCCGTTTGTTGCTTTTCTTTCGTGCATAAGCTATGGCTAACCCTTCGGAGGTTGTTCAAGGGTCGGAGCTTGAGGGGGATCACGTTTCCCGTGAGGTGGGGAGGACCACCCGCAAAGGAAGCCGCAAGGAGAAGTCGGTCGTTAGGGAGCCGATGGTGGAATTCGAGAAACGGCTTGCCAAGCTAGAGCTTGCTGTGGCCGACCACCAAGACCGTTGGGACGAGCACCCTGAGGTGGTAGCGGGGGTCGTCGAAGCTCGCATGGAGCGATTCGCAGGGGAATTGCAAGAGGTCATGCAGCAAATGAGGGACGACATGCTAGGGACGCTCAACGAAATGGTGGAACGTTGCAACAAGTCGAAGGAGGAAAGCCTTGCTCGTGTTGCCGCCCTCCAAGACGACGTCAACCGGCTTATGGGGGAGCTGGAGACTTCTCGGGCAGAATCGGCGCGTCTTAAGGCACGGCTTGACGCCGTGGCCGTGCAAGGGACAACCGGAACCGTAGGGACAGTTCCAAGGCTTGAAGCGCCCAAGCCGGACGAATATAAGGGCAGCCGTCACTTGAGGGACGTAGAGAACTTTCTCTACAGCATGGAACGGTACTTTGGGGCTATGAATATCATGGACGATTCGGTAAGACTCTTCCAAGCCTCTCTTTATCTTAAAGATAGTGCTTTATCATGGTGGAAACGTATGATGAAACCCGTGGGGGATGGAGACCCGGTCTTCACCACGTGGGATGGTTTTAAGGAAGAGTTTAGAAAGTATTTCCTACCCGTGGATGCGGAAGACGAAGCCCGGGCCAAGCTTCGTCGTCTGCACCATAGGGAAGGCCAAATCCGGGAATACGTTAGGGAATTTTCAGACTTGATGCTTGAAATTCCGGATCTCTCGCCCAAGGAGGCGTTCTTTACTTTCATGGACGGTCTCAACCGTTGGGCCAAACTTGAGCTACAACGGAGAGAAGTCCAGGACATCGATCGGGCGTTAAAGGTGGCCGAGTCGCTTGTTGAGTTCCAAAGAAGGATAGCTCCAAGGACAAGGGCAAGAAGCCGTTCCAAGGCAAAGGTGGGGAGACAAAGGAAGTCTTCCACACCCGCGGCCGGCAGCAGACTCTACAAAGCCGTCTTCGAGCAAGGAGACCAAGGGAGACAAGCCAAAGAAGTTTCAAGGGTGCTTCTTGTGCGGGGGAGCGCACATGGCACGTGATTGCCCGTCTCGTTCGAAGTTGGCAGCATTGGCACAAGGTTTGTGCCAAGAAGAGGAGAAACGGGTCGCTTGCATGAAACGGCTAGACGCCGTGCATGCCAAGGCCGAGACACGTCAAGGCCGTCTTTACATGGAGGCATCGTTCGCAAACGGGTCTAGATGGGGCATGCTAGACACAGGGGCCGACACGAGTTATCTCACGGAAGAGGTAGCCAATTCGCTTGGCGTCAAGTGGACACCTAGCAAAGGCCGTTTCAAGGGTGTGAACGGCGAATGGACGGGTCTTGTAGGCGAAGCCAGGGATGTGCCTCTTAAAATCGGCAACTGGTCAGGTACGGCTAGTTTCTCCATTGCACCTATGGATGATTATGGTCTTGTGTTTGGCATGGAGTTTTTAGACCAGGTAAAGCCGATCATCGTGCCTAGCAACGACACGATGGTGATCCTCCAAGGCGAGAAGCCTTGTGTGGTAAAGTTTAGACGGGAAAATGAGATTAGCCCTTCCCAGCTGAACAAGGGGCTAAAACGGGGTGAACACACCTTTGCCGCCATGGTGTTTGAGGAGGAACCATGCACAGAGGAGCCGGCAAAGGAGGAACGAATCCCGTCTCCCATAGAACGGGTCCTTGTTGAGTTCAAGGACGTGATGCCCGACGATTTGCCCAAAGGTCTTCCACCAAGGAGGGAGGTTGATCATGCCATCGAGTTGGTGGACGGGGCGAAACCGATAGCCAAGGTGCCTTATCGTATGTCCCCTAGCGAGCTAGAGGAGCTCAAGGTGCAAATCAAGGAGCTACTTGAATCGGGTCATGCAAGGCCGTCTAAAAGTCCGTGGGGTTCGCCGGCCTTGTTCCAACGCAAGAAAGATGGGACGCTACGTTTGTGCATCGACTATCGGGCGTTAAACAAGCTAACCGTGAAGAACAAGTACCCTATCCCACTTATAGCGGACTTGTTCGACCGGCCGCAACGGCACGGATCTTTTCCAAGCTAGACTTGCGGAAGGGATACTACCAAGTACGCATAGTACCCGGTGATGAACCGAAACGGCCATGGTGACGAGGTATGGCTCTTATGAGTTTCTTGTTATGCCGTTCGGTTTAACTAACGCCCAGCCACGTTTTGCACTTTGATGCAACGTGTGCTAGCGGATTTCATTGATAAGTTCGTTGTAGTATACTTGGACGACATCGTTATCTATAGTAACACAATGAAGGAGCATGTGGAGCATCTTAGAGCCGTTTTCAAGTCCTTAGGGAAAACCAGCTCTATGTTAAAAGGAGAAGTGTTCCTTCGGCCTTGAGGAGGTGTCGTTCTTGGGACACATCATTGGTGGGGGCAAAATCCGCATGGATCCGGCCAAAATCAAAGCTATCGTGGAGTGGGAGGCACCCACGAAGCCAACGGAGCTGAGATCGTTCTTGGGGCTTGTTAATTACTATCGGCGGTTCATTGAAGGACACTCCGCCATAGCCGCTCCATTAACGGATCTCTTGAAAAAGGGGCAAGCTTGGTGTTGGACACCAAAACACCAAACAGCGTTCGAGGCTTTAAAGGACGCTGTCACTCGAGAGCCAGTCCTAGCTCTCCCTGATTTTGAGAAACCGTTCGAGGTGTGCACGGACGCTTCGGACTTCGCCATTGGGGGCGTTCTCATGCAAGATGGTCACCCGATCGCCTTTGAAAGTCGCAAGCTGAACGAGACCGAGAAAAGGTGGCCGACGCACGAGAAGGAGATGTTGGCTATAGTTCACTGCCTTAGAGTTTGGGAGCATTACTTGAAGGCCGCCACACCGTTCAAGATCAAGACGGATAATCGGGCAGTGAGCTACCATCAAAGCCAACCTAAGCTTTCAAGCAAGCAAGCGCGTTGGTTGGACTTCTTGGCCGAGTTTAAATACGAGCTTGAGTATAGCCCGGGGAAGACTAACCACGTGGCCGACGCGTTAAGCCGAAAGGCGTGTCTTGCGCCAATCGTTAGCATACCCGAAGGGATGTTGGTTGATCGCATCAAGAAGGGTCTTGAGCACGACCGTCAAGCCCAAAGGTTCATGGAGCTCGTGAAGGAAGGCAAGACAACACGGTTCTGGCTTGAGGATGGGATACTTTATGCCAAGGGGAACCGTTTGTACGTGCCCGCATGGGATGGACTTAGAAGGGAGATTCTAAGGGATTGCCATGATAGCCGTTATGCGGGTCACCCAGGTACGCATCGCACACTTGCCTTAGTCCATGAACGGTTCTATTGGCCTCGCATGCGGGAAGACGTGGAGACGTATGTAAGGACTTGTCTAGTTTGCCAACAAGACAAGACCGAGCAAGACCTCCCGCATGGCTTGTTATCACCCTTGCCTATTTCGGAACGCCCGTGGGACAGCGTTTCGATGGATTTCATCGTGAGCCTGCCCGTTTCCGAGGGTTGCACCAACATACTTGTTGTGGTAGACCGTTTGTCTAAGTATGCGGTCTTCATTCCCGCCCCAAAAGAGTGCACCGCGGAGATAACGGCCAAACTCTTTCTTAGGCATGTGGTGAAGTATTGGGGGCTGCCTACATCGATCATAAGCGACAGGGACTCGAGGTTCACCAGCCGTTTTTGGCAAGAACTCTTTCGTTTGCTTGGGACGGAGCTCAAGATGTCTACATCTTTGCACCCGCAAACAGATGGGCAGACGGAGCGCATCAACGGCCTCTTGGAAGTGTATCTCAGGCACTATGTGGCAGCCAACCAGAAAGATTGGGTACATTTGCTAGACGTTGCCCAATTTTCCTATAACTTGATGCGGAGTGAGAGCACGGGCAAAAGTCCGTTTGAGATTGTCCTTGGTTTCCAACCAACTACGCCTAAGGACATTCTTGGGGGCTATAAGGGCAATAGCCCACCCGCATACAAGTTTGCCAAAGATTGGCAAGAACGGACCGACAAGGCAAAACTCTACTTGGAGAAGTCGGCCGCACGCATGAAGAAATGGGCGGATAAGAAACGGACCCGTCGCGAGTTTGAAGAAGGCGACCAAGTCTTGGTGAAGCTCTATGAGCATGGACGGAGCCGTGGTCTACACAAGGGTCTCATGCGCAGATACGAGGGTCCTTTCACCGTTCTTAAGAAAGTGGGTTCGGTTGCTTACAAGCTGGAACTACCCGAGGCCTTCTCAAGGCTTCATCCAGTCTTTCATGTGAGCCTACTTAAGCCATACCGCAAGGACCCAGAGGACGAAGAACGGAACGTTTCCTCAAGGGCACCAGGCGGCGTACGCGAGCATGAGGAACGGACCGCAGAGGAGATCCTTTCTAAGAGAATCGTTCGGGCGGGAGCGGGCAGCAACTAAAGAATACTTGGTGAAATGGAAGAATTTGCCAATGAGTGAGACGAGTTGGGAGCCAATCGAGAAGCTTTGGCAATTCACCAAATTGATCAAGGACTTTGAGGAGAATCGTGCACCCGTTCCTATCAACATTGCCTTCGAGACTTAGGTGCATCGGGCGATGCACCATTTTGGTGGGGAGGATGTCACGGACAGTTTTCTTCACCATGAATTCGGGTGGTTTGATGCGAAACGGGCTATTTTCGTAGACGGACATGGGACGGAACGGTCCAGAGCCTTGTGGAATTCTCCGGTCAAATCTTGAAGACTCGGAATTTTCTAGAGAGGCCGGAACTCTCTAGAAACGAGTGGAACCGTATGGAAGCTACCCGAGTTTGCTAGAACCGTGTGGAAGATTCTAGAGACTTGTAGATATTTTGAACTTAGAATATTTTATTGTAGGAATTCTCTAGAATCCCATTATTTTATTATGTACATAGAATTCTCTAGAATTCTTTAGGACTTGGGGGGTTTGCCTATAAATACCCCATGCCCCCTTCATTTGTAACCATCCAAGCTTTGAGTAGAATTCTCAAGCATTCCTTAAGCTCTCTTGTGCCTTCATCGTTCTTTCATTTTCAACCTTTCTTAAGTTTTTCTTTGCCTCCGTTCTTTAAAGTCTTGCCTAGCTTTGCACGCTTTGGGGGTCTTAAGGCTGAGCTAGCACTTGATCGTTAGTTGTTTTGTGCTAGTGCCGCACGGCCGTTACTTGGAAAAAGTAAGCCCGTGACAACTGGATGTCGACAGATGACTTTTATCCCCTTGCTACATATTTCAATGCAGTTTCAGGACTAAATGAACCGCGAGGGATTTCTTCGCCACTCCTTACAGAGCTGGCGCAGATCTGGGCGCCAGCTCTGTTTGCCCTGGCGCGGTTCTCCCTCGCCGGCCGGGGCAGTGGAGTTTTTTTTTTTTTTTTCCAAAAAATACTTTAACACAATTCAAATTCAAATTTACGTACCTTTAGTTTGCGTAGCTTTTTTCGTAGCCGTTTTATTCGATCCGCCATTAAATTTAAGATTTTTAGGTATTTGGATGGAGAGAATTTGAAATGAAAGATTGATTTAGGAATTGAAAGAATGAAATTGAAACTCTTTATATATAAATTCATGTAAAGGGCAAAATCGTCATTTGGTATTTATTTAGGGCGTTGAAGGGAAATTTTTAGGGCGTTTAGTAGCCTGCCAGTTCTTAAAAGAGCCGTCCACCCCCATTTGTACAAGTGATGCGAGTCGTGCTGTCATATGGATGTAAAATTTAGCACACTTCACGAACTAATGGCAGATAAATTCAGTAATTTGTTTGTTTCATTTTTTTTTTATGATTTTTTAAAATTAATATATTAATAACTATTTTATCCATCAAACTTTTTTACATTTCCAATACAAAAAATACCTACAAACACACATTAAAAAAATAATACAAACATACCTCTTCCACTTTATTTCATGCCCTTTTTAGTACTTATTAAACAGATGAATATCGAGGGAAATGTTGGTATCTCGAACTTAGAATCTTTTTTGTGTGTTTCCTACATCGAGGATATAAGAATTTATGTTCGAAAAAGAAAAATTAAAATATTGAAGGAAAACAAATGTGAAAAACGCTTCCGCCATGTGAATCCGAATGGAGACATGTGTCATACATCAAACAAATTCCAAAATTAGTGACAGCGATGTTATTTACACTTTTCTACCAAAAGATTTTGGCGCCACTAATTAAAATATACTCTTTACGTTTCAAAACAATTAGTGCTTGAGTATTCGTCGCGCATCACGCGACGCACCCTATATAATCTGGTGTATGTAACTTTCTTCCGATTGCATACGGATTTTCTTAATTATTAGTTTGGAAAAATTCGTTGTTGATGATTATACGAGAGATTGAAAATAATAATCAATGTATGAGAATATTAGATAGGAAAAAATTACAACTGTATGAATAGATGTGAAATATAGAAAACATTTCGAGTTTATCTGGCGAAAAAGTCGAATATCTCATGAAACAACATTTCGAGCTATCATTGATGACATCATCTAATGTCGATGGTTTAAGTAGTACCTTGAGCGATTTGAACTTCTTTATTCATGATAGTGCTATATACAGTTGTCTGTGTGAGAATTTGGCTCTCACAAGTACAAGCCGACGTATTCTAGTACTTACCCCTGTGATTTATTGATGGTTTTATGAAATAGAATTTTGTTGACAACTGTATTCTTTTGAATGAGATATCCTTCGACTCTAGATCTTACTATCTTCCTTGAGTGTTGGTCAAAAGCGATCTAGGCCTTAGTTGGGTACTTTTCAGTTCTTTACATATCAACCATGTTCCATTACAGAATCCTTCAGTCGGGTTTAGATTTCACTGGATCATCAGTTGATAATCTGGTTTTCGATTTAATTAATGTGACTCATTTTGACTCTTCCTGATCAACCCCAAAAAATTATTAAAGAAAGTACTAAAGTCAAGTAGGCGCCGCCAATGAATACATCAAATAAGTGCACGATACCATGAAGTAAAAAGCTTCTCAAGGAACGATCATGATTAAGCCAAGAACCATAGTCTTTCGAGTATCAGGCAGCATGTAATTCGAGCTAAACTGGTAAACCATCAAGAGATCTCATGCTGATTCTGCTAAGTATCAGGGGTTGCTTTTTTTCTTCTGGCAGAGCACTCAGCATGATCTCTATGACCTTCGAAACCGACTCCCACAAGCAAAATGTTTCCTAAGGCAAAGCGGGCAAAGAGCCACTGTAAATAAAACACCAGCCTAGATAAAGAAAATAGGTTTCAATACTTTTGAACAAATTTAAAGTTGTAATTGTAGATGCTTTCAAGCCGAAGCTGTATTTTTTTCAATGAAATAAATCAGATATTCTAATAAGAGTTCCATAGATATTCCTAGTATTGCCTTTATAAAAGATCAAAACTACACTAATGATTAAAAAGGTCAGAAAAGTATGAACGTATCTTGATCATACATTAGTAATCATGACCAGGAACACCCACGACCATTATTAAACATGTTATGAAGACCATTGAAAATCTGAAAAAATACAAGTGAACTGCAAAATATATTCCAACTAATACAACCCACCATCATTTGAGGAAATTGTGTTTCACAAGCATAAGTGTTAAATGAAGCTTAATTCAAACTCTCCATCATATGAAGAATCAGAAAGTCGGATATCATTCCAATCATCGCCATCTTTCAAATCCATTACCCGTTGTAAATTTGACTAATGATTAATGAACTTTCTTTGATTTAAGAGAAACTTTCATAAGCTGAACTTCTAGAGGCATATGCAGTAATTAAATATCAATCCAGCTACTGAAAGAAAAAAGGAAGCTAAGGAATCCATACACGGAGAAAAGGTTAAGAAACATAAACCTACATTGTCATCAGACCATTTAATTGATTCAATAAAATTGGAGACAAAGATGAAGATGTTCTTTTTGGTACCACATTCAAATCATATGCAACTGCCACATCCTCAAAGGAAAAAAAAAATAACAGTGTTATTCCACCTAATAAAAAATACAAAATTTTGTACTTCAGTCACTGAGCAAAATAGACCTTGAAAGTACCTCAGCCACATCAGAGAGGTGAAGAGTGATCCTTTCTTGTGCGACGCAACCAACTTCCGAAGACCATAACTTCAGATCCGTAAGTTGGATTTGGATGTTTTTAGTACCTTTGTGAAGCTGAAAAGGAGGGCTACAACTTTCATGCAGAATACTTCTCAAAATTTAGCCGTTTCAATGATCAAAACTACAGTTGAAGTCTCAGCCATCAGAACTGAACCAAAAGTGTCCAGAACTTTAGCAACCAGCAGCCATCTTTTGAAGAACATTTGAGATTCGTAGCTCAGATTCATGAGTTCTTTATATGGGTGTGAAGCTAGAAGAGCGATCTACAACTTCTATACAAATGTCAGCTCCAAATTCTATCTGCAGGAAAGCAAAAAAGGAAAGAAAAGTACCACTCAGGACTGGAAACGAATATGAATGTCAATCCTTCTGGTGAACAGATCTACAAAAGAAGGTGCCCAATGAAGATCAAAACTTCAGAAGATAAAAGAAATGTTCAAACTATTCTAAAAGGATTGACATGAGCCAACAATCATAATCATACAAAAGGGTTGTGGCATGTCTTTATATTCTAATAAATACTATAGATATTGCATCCACTACTACTTTTTTGACACAAGCATTATCTACTACAATGCACAATGAACTTAGAGAATACAAAGTGGGAGAAGAATAGAACTTTTCAAATGAGCTCTACAGTGTCTTCCCACATCTGCAAGAGCTTTACGCAGAAGTTGGAACTTATAAATCAATTTTGTGCATTGTCACTGCGTGACCTAGATATTTAGGAAACCTTTTAATGAATTTTATAAGAAGAAAAAAGCAAATCAGATTTCATGTTTCCGACTTTACAAAAATTAGTTATACTCAGTAGCATACAACTACTAAAAAATTTTCAATGGCTTTCATGAGGAGAAAGTAGCGGAAAAAACACAACACCAGCAATTTAGTTCAAGCCATTGAACACGTACAAACAGGTTAGCTGAAAAAACACAACACCAGCAATTTAGTTCAAGCCATTGAACACGTACAAACAGGTTTAGCTATTTCCTTTATATTGCATGATAAAGAAACTTGGAACCATGAAATCAACAGATATATAGATTATTCATGATCCTCACATCTCCACTAACTTGAACTGTATAATTCATGATCCTCACATCTCCACTAACTTGAACTGTATAATTCATAGCTATAAGTGACGTTGAAAGACATGCACTAATCTGACAATGGAATTTGCCAAAAAGCAAATCAAATTTCATCACTAACCTACGTTGTGCTGTGTCAGCTATCCTTTTCAAAATTTTAATCGAATTCAGTATTCATGTTGTGAGGGAGTGAATACCATCAAACCCAAATCCAAAAAGAGAAAAGAAAAAAAGAAAAAAGGAAAAGACCATTAAGCTAAAAGTTTCCATCTTAATTCAGTTAAATAAATGCATCAAACATGCAAATCATGTACCGGTAAGATAAACCTTGAATTTTTTTGTACATTAAGGTCCAATAGAACTATTAACATTAAAATTAAAATCCAAAAAAAGCACTCTTGTGTAATGAATTCATGGTTCAATATGTGTATCTGTGTTCTTTGCAGATCACTTTATTTTATTGTCATGCTCTTGGGTTTCCAAACTTAAAATAGATAAATAGTTCCCTGTATACGTGTTCTGAAGTATGTAATTAACTAAAACTTATAATGAAATACAATGACTTATAACTCTGAACAATCAAAATCATAAAACTCAAAGATCATAATCAAAATTTTAGTATGCAGAATGCAATAATAAGTGAAGTGCCCTGAATTTTTTACCCCAATGGATGAAATATCCTAACATAGCCATCACCAAACAGACAGCAACTAAGTGGGATGCATGGTAATGATTTGATCAGGTCTTAGTTACTCAAGATAATGATTTGATACGGTATAAAATCTATATATTCTTGTTTCCAAAATAAAGAACTTTAGCATGTGTATTAGTTATCGAATTATTCATCGCTAATTTTCACCTAAGGCCAGCCCATAATGAAAACAAAAAGAAAAAGAAAAAGAGAAAAAGAGAAAACTAAAACTGAGAATTTAATGAGC